GTACGTTAGTAGTCATTCCTGTGAGGGAGACAAACACAAGTGTCATCAAGAGGCTTAAGGTCACAGATGAAACCTGCTTCAGCACCAGCACTTGAAGGTATATCTACTGATTCTTAGATCTGATGTCTACCTGATTTGATCAAAGTCACATAATCTCTTCTTGTCACATTAGCTAGAACTATTTACGCTTGGTCAAATTACTCTCTGATTTTGTAAAGTCAGTAATCAGTAACTAACAGCACCTACAGTTGCCTGTAGGACAACGACAGCAGCTATGTGACTATAGGCAGCTTTATCTTTCACTTTGCATGGTGAACCATCATCATTCAACAGAGGTCCCAAAGGAAAGGGTGCTCCTAGTGAATGTTGCAGTGCCTAATTATTAGGATCTTTGCCCCCTTCTAGAATTAACAGCACCCCAGTTATATAGTAGGTAGTTAAACTTGAATACTTCGAAAATAGATCCAGAAAGGCTGTTACACTGAGAAGAAACACTGGAGACCAGCAGCTGGGGATGCTGAGGAGAGTGATATTATGCCTCTGTGCTTCAGGGGCTGAGGTAATTTTCTCCACTTTTGTTCAGACCCAGTTCTGCCCTACTGCTGAGCCTCTGAGTGATTTATACCAACTGGGAAGGGCTACACTTTCTTCCAAATCATTCCAAGACAGCAAGGCCAATAATCATGCCTGTGCTGCTTTCCATTCACTAACTCAGGGCTTAAACACCCCCTCAAGATGTGAGAAAAACAAATTCATTCCCCTCTTCCAGTCTGTCCTTGTGTCACCCTTTGCTAGGACACCGCCTAACCTGTAAATCTACACAGTTATGTACACTCTTGAAGTTCCTTTCTTGCTTGTGAGCACTCTCCAGACGTCTTCAGTGGGCAGGATTGTCAGCACTTCATCCTCAGGGATCCAGCACTGCTGTAGCTCTTGACCTTTTTTGGTGGGGAAGAGAAAGAGATGTGCTTAATTTTTTTCTAACGAAGAACTCAGCCCGTGTCTTTCACATCTGAGTGAGTTCTCTAAAATGCACAGGTGAAACCATGCAGCAAAACCACAAATTCTGCAGTAAGTATACTTGGGTTAATTTTCAACAATTTAGAATAAAGGTCAAAGTTTAAGCATACAAAATCAGTAATTTCTTCTGAAAACCTTTTCAAAACGGTAAGTACCTAATTGTTTTGCCATGAGAAGATTTTCCTTTGTCTCAGTCTAACATTAGTGTAATTGCATTTGAGTAACAGTTTGAACTGTGCCTAGTAAAACAAGATTTCAGAATGCTTTTTGCATTTCCATTTGCATGGAAAAATAAATTAGTTAAAAATTCTGACAATATAATTGCCCTCTGCTTGGTTACCTCATGTGATTTTTAATCTTGTTTGTAAACAAAACAAGGACTTATCAGTTTATCCATGTGACTAAGCTGAACCAAATGGAAGATGCATTTTACTTTGAAAATAGGATGCCCCCCTGGGACTCAGGCAAGGCAACTTGCAGAATATTGCTTTCTAGACATTTAAATCCAGATATTTGTGTGCTTTTGTTCTCTTTTTTATTGGTTAGCTAAGGTGAAATGTGGTTTAGATCTATAAAATGTATTTATGGGTTTGTGTAGGACAAATGGGTCCAAACTCGTGTCTCTCAATGCTAGCCTGCCTGCTGTTGTCGACCACACTGAATATGCCTGCTTTGATCCACGCAGGATGCACCTGCTTTCTTTTTAAGCCAGCCTTGTTCAGCCCAGGTTAACATCAGCTGTACCTCATGCATCTGCTTTGTAGCTGTAGGCCTGTACTAAAACTGTTCGCACTTTAGTTCTTTGTGCACTATGTAAAGCGGTTGTCTTCTAGAAACAAGTCTTGTGATTACTTATGTCTTTCTGGTTGCCTGTGGAAATTTAGTCCAGTAGTGGAGGTGGCTGGAAGAGGCAGTTGTGATGTTACTGCTAACTAACTTCTTAGTCTGCCGTAAATATATTCCAAACTCAGTGCAGAAGTGGAAGGAGTGAGATCCCGTAAGGAGGGATTTTATTGACCTCTTCCCTGAAATTTCAGTGGACATGGGAGGCTTAGGAGTAGGATTCAAGTGATAGCTGGTAGGTCAATCAGAACCCGAGGGCAAACTTTTGCATAAATATATAGTCTCGCCCGGCCTGCGCAAATTCCTCAAGTGGTTTGTTACAAAACTTAGTCACAATGTGAATATCGTAGTAGCATAAGCTGCCTCTCCTCTTGCTGTTGGCTGAAGAGATACTGATTGATGTTCACTGAAGGAGGTAATTTCTTTACAGCTGTGCTGATCCTAGGAGGCCAGCTGTGTTCAGGGCTGGCCTGGGCAACTTAGGTTAGGGCTTGAGACTGTAGTTCCACAAATATTTGAGGTGACATAACGCATCACTGGTGCTTAGATGGGCAGGTTTCACTCTCCATCCTTTCCTACTCTGCTTTCACCCCCACTTTCTCCTCTCTTCTCATGTTCTTGCCTCCACTTTTCTGCTCTTTTGCGTATGTGGGTCTGACACCTGAACCATTCTGCAGGACAAATCAGTTCACTACCTGGAAAGCAGTTGTTTTGCTGCATTAAATTTCTGCCTGTTTAATGAGTTAGAAAGGTTTGCAGAAGAGCCTCAGAGCCCAAGAGTGGAAGAAAGGTAAAGTAACAGGAATGCACAATGGAGAGCAGGGAGATGGGAGATGGGAGTGGGAACACTATTGGTTCATCTTTAGACACAGAAATGGTAGTCTGAGTTCTAACCTGGATTTAATGTGTGGTGTAAATGCACCTGATCTGAGTTACGCACCTACATCTCTCTGATAATCTAGGCTGTTAGTCTGTGTTGGCTTCAGTCCATTTGACCGAGCGTGACCACAAAAATATTTTAAAGCTGGGGAAAGCAACCTCAGGAACATATCTGGAAATAATAATTCTGTCTATTTTGTTGTTCAATTAATAATCTTAATAATCTTCCCAGTAAAAAAATGGATTGAAATGCATTTTTTCTACCATAATTTATGCTTTGAGGGAAGGTAATAGTAAGTAAAGGCCAACATTGCCATTTTGTCATCTGTAATTGTATGAGGGGCAGTGTGATGTTTCTGATGCCCCAAAAGAAACTTGAGCAGAGGTTGCTGGCTGGTTTCTTTTAGCACCAGAAAAGAAAATCTGTAATCAGCCAGATGATGTTCCCTGTATATGTTAGTGAAATGCAGGGACTGGTATAGTAAGGGACAGAATCCCATTGCCAACTCCTAGGAGCGGAAGAGGACAGACACAGGGGACTGCAATCTTTGTTCTGTTGCTCATCTTTTGGCATCGCAGGTGGGCTACAGTCTGAATAAAGCAGTATTAAGATAAGGCATAAATGATTCCCTGGGATATAAACTTTTATGCCAAATTGCAAAGAAAGTGCAAAGCTGTATGAGCACAGTTTAGTACTGGTGATTGAACACTGTTTAAGTATCTTTAAGCAAAGCAGAAATACAAACTATTTATATATCATAGTTAATTGTCCAAATTGCTGACCATCTACACTTAATTGTAAAGTATTTCCAGCAATGCTGTAATAATGCATTACAGAGACTGAAAATGAGGAGGTAGCTGTAGAAGGAGTTAATGCCCATGAATTTGCTAGGAATCAAGTTAGTTAAGAAACACATTTGAGAGGATTAACATTGCTGTAGAAACTAGTGTTTGAAGAGATTGGCTGAGGGGGTGTTGGGTTGAAGAATGTGAAAGGCAATTCAGTCCCATTGGTGGGCTTGTCAAGGACAACTTGCTTCCCAGCTGTGGCTCCCTGAAATGGAAAACATAGAGAAGAGCAGGTGCTACAAGGTCACACTTGGAAGGTGTATCTGAGATGAAAAAGAGGAAATTAACCTATATCCATCCCAACTGTAAGGTAGGGCTCTGATTTACCCTGGTTTTCTTCAGCTTACCCCATCAGGCAGAGGGAACTGTATTGAATAATTTGATTTAATGAAGGCTTTGTGGCAATCCTTAGAGAGAAATCTTCTTTAAACTGGTGTTCTCCCTGTTTAACTCACTGTGCTAACCCTCAGATGTGTAGGGGCTTTTACAGGTAAGTATATTCCAAGTCCCCGGAATATATTGCTCCTTCTTTGAAGACATTTTTGGGAAATATGTGAGATGTGTAAGAAAGCAGGTGGCTTAGTGCTACCAGAAGCTTTAACCATCAAGTCAAGATGGAGATGACTAAAAGTAGGCAGACAAATAAAGAGGGATGTTTTTGCAAATCTTGGGAGGGGAAGCAGAACGGCGTCTTGTTTGTTTCCATTTAGAACTTACGTTGATCTCATGGTTTTGGTTTTATTTTTTCTCCTTCTAACTTTAATGCCAACATATTAGTCTCCAATGCAGTTTCTACTAAAACTAACAAATTTACATTGATGCCAGTGGAAGAGGGGAGGGCTCAATAGACCATGCAGAGCAGAACTAAATGTCCTTTTCATGGCTAGGAAGGACAGGCATAGTAAATAAAGACCACGGGGACATGTATACATCAGTCAAACATATAGGTCTTCATACTTCTGTCTCCCCCAGTGCTCAGTACCAAATGTTTGTGAAGAAGACTGAAAAACTCTATTACAGACAAACTAGCTTGCCCTCAGAATGTCTCTTTTCTCTGTTCTTTGCTTACTGGTTGTATGCTGCTGACAGCATTCAGTATTTGACAATAAATTGCTAGCTAAATTGCTATTGTCAAATTCAGTATTTGACAATAAATGTCATACATTGTTGACATTCACATGTCAAATTTTCTTGATTAGAGTAAAGTTTATAGGCTTGTAGCTTTTGTTGGAATCCAGTTTGCATTTATTTAAGGAAGATACTCAAATATCAAATATCTTGGAAGGAGTCTGATTTTTTGCAAACTTGGGACAAAAATGTTTCATTTTTTCTTTTGTCTTTTTCAACACTGTAATAGGATCATTGGACAGACTCAGAAACAGACATCGGGATCAATTAAAAAAGGCAACATGAAAGAAGCTGAGAAGCCACGTGCAGGGGACAAATTCTGCTGCATTTCCAAGCTGAAGGTACCGAAATATTTTAGCAATTTTGCATGAACACACAACTGTAATTGCTTGCACTTATAGTGGTTTGGTAGAAGTTACAATCTAGACTAAATGAATGAATAAGTTCTGTTTCTTTCCTTATCCTTAATGCCTTAACCAAGGTCAAGCAAGTTTGTAAGCAATCATGTGTTGCTTTTTATGTCCCTGAACTTTACACTCTGTGATGTGTTGGAGGTATGGTTGATTGCTCCTTTGAAGCTCCACCTCTGAATTTGTGCAATCCCCCTAGTCTGACATGTTTACCATTCCTTCTTAAACCTGTGAAATTAACCTTACGGATTGTGACGTGGCAGTAAAAATTGTCTGTTGATGTACCCTAGGCTGTTTAAGTTGTCAAGAAGCTCTATAAAAGCTGTAAAATAGTTTGCTTTTAATAGTAATTCAAAGCCTGAATACATTACTTATGCTTTTTAGCATTTGCAGCAGATGTATTTAAAAATACTATTGATTTCATTACATAAATACTGTTTATTAAGAACCCTAAAGTTAAAAGGATTTGCATACTACTGCATATATTCATACTTATTTTTTTACAGTCAATTGCTACTAGATTCTTGTAAAAAGGACACACTATTTACTACTTCTGTTTGAAATGAGTTGTTCTGGGCTCATGACCTCTACTGAGGTGGGAGAGCAGATGCTTGATCAAGTAATTCGATCAAAGAAAACGATCTTAGCTCTGCAAGTAATTTATCGTTCAGATGAGCAAAGGGTGTGAAGGTCTTTGCACCCTGGTCTGGCTGCAGACGTTACGCAGTCCTGCAGATGGCAATCTTGCAGCAGACACGCTGTACTAGAGGCTGTGCTGCACCTGTCTTGGCTGGGGAAATGGGACTTAAGGTCTTTGAAGACAGTCTTGGTCAATGGGAGCAGGTGAAGAACAAAATCTTTCTTCATTTTTTGGGGTTAGTGAAGCCATAACTCTGTGGACAAGGATAAATGGTGGGATTTGAACTTGTATTTACACACATATCAGCGGATCAGGACTGTTCACTTGTTTTATCTGAAAGTGTATCTTTGGTGGGGAAAATAACCATGCAATATTCCTAAATGTATAACTTTGAATTCTTTATGCATTCTCCTCTTTCCTCCCTAGGTATTTCTGCTGGCACTATCACTTGCATTTGTTGGTAAAACGATGTCTGGTGCTTACATGAACAGCATGTACACCCAGATAGAGAAACAATTTAATATTCCGGCTTCTTTAGTGGGGATCATTAATGGAAGCTCTGAAATTGGTAATCACTCATTTTAATATTTCCTATTCTTTGAAAATATAATGTTGGCTGAGCATGTATTAGTGACTCTCATGTCCACAGCAATCTGTCAATTGCTGTATATGACAATAGTGACCAAATCTATCCTACCATTTCAGCTGGTACTTACGTATTTACTGTCTTGGAAACTAACAGGACAACTTAAATGAGGAAGTTTAGGATTAAAAGCTGGCTTGGCTAATTTCTGCACTATCTTATGATATGACGGAGCAACTAACAAAATAGAACTACTTTATGAGCTTTGTACTGAATCAACTAACAAACCAGAAAGATTTTATAAACTTTGTTTGAATTTAAGGTCATATTTAGTGTTTTACAGTTCTTTTAATCAGTGACCTCAGAGTTGGTTGGAGTGGATTGTCTCCTTACTCAAACTCAATAATATTTCAAGATTTCATACCTGTACAACTGTAAAGAAAGTTTCCAGTTCTACTGTTAGTGACCCTTACCTTGCCTATCAGTGAGTTTTATTGCCCAGTGACAGGCTTATGTCTTGTCATTGCCACAAAAGCCAAACAAAAGGCTTGATAGCTTGAAACCTATCTGAATAGAGATCCTCAGAGGATGTGTTTTATACCCTTAAAGTCACAATGTGGATCTTTATTATCCCTGGCTCAACTGAGGAAATGGTCTGCACAGGCTCATATACACTGGTGGGGAGGGGAGACAAGGCTCCTTCCCCCCTTTTCCTGGTCTCCTATATCTGCATGTGCAAGAAGAAGAAACTGTTGGCAACACCATGCTGCTGCCTGCAAAGCAGTCTGATGGGGCAGCTCAAAGTTATGTTAGAGAAGGAATACCCAGAATATATTCTTGCTTTTGATAAGGAGGAGACTTTAAGAAATATGAAACGGCCAAGATTAATGAAGTAGTATGTAAAAGGCTTATTATTTTAAATAAGTTATCCTCTCATATGCACTTTTCTATAACAAGTTGTGGCATTCTTATCCCCAAGGATGTAAAATAACTGTGAATAATCATATTAATATTTGAAATGATTAAGAGTCAGTGTATGTGGCAGACATAGGGAACTTATTAGGACCGTGTAAGTGTACATCTTTAAGTGTCATCCAAACCACTGGTTCAATACAGTCTGTCTAGCAATCATACATAAAAAATATGTTATCTTCTTTCAGAGCATGATGCTCATCACTCAGAGACATGGTTTTGTTCTTTTGACAAAAAGATCACAAAATTAGTAGGTGTATGATTACTAAGTTGTTATTTTTATGGGACCTGATTCATAACACGAAGCTCGATTCTTTTCTTCGTTGCATAGCAATAAATGAAGAGTATAGAAAATCAACTGATTCTGAAGTGAAAGTGGAGGATAAGAGTATGAAGATTTTTAGCCCATTTGTATTTTTAAATGGTACTAGGTACAAAAATCCATACTTTTTTAATTCCTCTTGAATGATTACTGAAATTAATATTAATTTATTATTCCTTTTTTCTCTGTATGTCATCTTGTGTTTATTATTTTCAGTAGAAAAACACTTGGATATATACTTCTGTATTTTCCCACACATTGCAAAATGGAGAATCCTAGGAGAATAACTTCCTAAAACAGCTATTACTCTGCAGCCCCTGGGCCTGGTCTCTATGTAAAGTAGTGGGAAATTTCTTCTTCACACAGGTGCAGTCAAAAATCTCTTTCACCATGATCTCGTTTCCATTCTGCCTTCTATTCTCATGTTCTTTCCACATGGTGTAACTCTCCCAGAAAAAGATCACAAATAGGAGGGAATTACTGCGCCATTTAGGCAGTTCCCTGTCTAGTTACAGTTTTTACAAGACAGGAACTAACAGATGTTGAGCTAACAAGGTATACTCAAATTTCTGTTGCACTTTAAAAGATATAAGGATGCCTTGGTTTGTAAATAAGGACCAGGTTCTTTTTGCAGGCAACTTGCTGCTGATAGCGTTTGTGAGTTACTTTGGAGCAAAGCTTCACAGACCCAGAATAATTGCTTTGGGCTGCACAATTCTGTCATTTGGATGCCTTTTGATATCATTTCCTCATTTCCTATTTGGAAGGTGAGTATTTTGCTTAGCTCACAGCAGCTTCTGTGGTCCTTACTTGCCTTAATCCATAACTGCTCCCACTGAAATAGTATTGCTTATTGAGAGAGACACTGCTGAGCATGGGTATGATATGATAATTGTAGAGCAGCTTGTTTTGTTTTGCTTCTGAAATGGCTTCGGAAGTCAGTCATCACTTCCTGAGGAGAGTCACCCCTCTGCTGGGCACCTTGCCTTGCCCTTGCCTTGCCTTGCCTTCATCCTTGTGCTACCTCTTGTGTGGACTCTCTGAAGAAACAGTGGCCTGTGATACTGTCACATTACACTACTAGCTCTTATCTGCTTGGATGGGCAATACAAGATGATTTTTAAAGATGTCTTTGGTCTGGAGCCTGGATGACAGATCATACCTGCCCGCTGTGTTGGCAAGGCCTTTACAGACCATAATGATTCTTTAACCAATTTTTGACTATTTTTGCTTGGCTTAACAAAATAATCATTTAGGCTTGTCTATATTTTCATCAGTGAGATATCTTCTGAGAAAAGAAGATCCGCTAACCTTGTTATGTCCAATGTGGTATGGCTCTGACAGCCTTGGTGGCACCCTCTGCTTAGGGTGTAAATTGGATTGGAATGTAAGAAGAGTAGAAGACATGATGATACGAGGGATTTCATTAGGGTGTTTCATCAACTTCTGCTGAAGCATCTGTTACAAGATTATGTTAGAGGCTAGATAACAGTCTGGATAAAACACTGGGTTGATTCCCTGCTACAGTTCCTTTGTTCCTAGCCTGATTTGTTACTGAGGCTCAGTTAAGTTTTGATGTGGGTTTCCTTCTTCGTATAGCTACACACTCTTCTTATAGGTAGTTTCATTACTGAAGTACAGATTTATGAGGCAGTTCTGATGTATTTCTTCTTAAACCTATACATGCTTTACTTTGATTCAAACAGGTATCGTATTGAAAGCAGTATTTCACCATGGGATAATTTTTCAGTCATGTCTCTGTGCCTTGTTAATCAAAGCTTGTTCTCTTTACCTACAGAGGAACCATCAACAGGTACGACTCTTCCTATGTCTACTAATACTTTTTCCTCAGTTTTTATAGCGTTTAAGTAAATAAGATTTTATTTTTATTAGCAATTATTTCAGGGTCCTGCTTTTGATCAGGCATAAAAACTAGAGGTCAGGAAATTTCCTAGCCTTCTTGTTTCTTTAATCTGTGACTCCAGAGCTGTAGCTTTTTTTCATGCAGTTTTCACAGTATCCGAACAGCTTGGTTAACATCCCTGTCAGTCCACTTTGGGGAAATATAACACCAGGTTGTTCTCACAAATGTTCCTCTTTTTGACTTGAAATACTATGATACTGTGAGGAGGTGGGTATTTGGACAATGGGTAAAATGCATCAGGATGCTTTTTCATTGTACCACACAAGAAATAAAAGAATGAGAAATAAAGATAGATAGAGCAAAAAAGTAGATCCCACTTCCTTTTAGAGAAAAGAGAAAATAGTTTAAACTAGGCTGAAACTTACCTGGGAGACCGAAACATGTATGTGCACTAGCAATATGCATATAAAGTAACTACTATGAAGTCAAAAGGCTCAGAGGCAACTCTTAAATGATCACACACAAAATCCTCACACTGAGGATGGGATTAATCTCCTGAGTCTTTAGCTACCTCAAAGGGAAGCATTTAGTCTGAACCATCTCTTTAGGTTCTCTTGATAGTTGGTCAAAGGACACTACAGAGCTCTTGCAGAGTGTGTCCCTTGCTGTAAGGACATTCATGCTCTTTACTTTAGAGTGGGTCAGATTACCTCCAGGATGCACCTACTGACTGTTGGAAACTTAGATGACTGGTGGATGGCAAAAGTTAGGTGAGATGAATCCCACAGTTAATTGTTATATTTTGTGATGGTGTTCCATCAATGTGCTAAAGCTGAATCACACTGCTGTAATATTGTATGTACACAGTGACATCAAACCATAGTGTTGTACTGTAGTTTTCTGTGTCTCCATTTAGTAACGGGTGTGGCTTCCAAGCTTTCCGAGACTGCATGTCACTTAAGGCATTAATTTTTCCATCTTCACAATGAAAAGTTGAGAAAAGTGCATACTTAATAGCACTTGGTATTATTCTTTCATTTGAAGATTTCAGATACTGTTTTTCTTCATTTTATAAATGCATGAATTAACATATAGATAGGTAAGCCATTTTCTTCTAAATTATACAGCCATTCAATGTACACACTAGAACCCATAGGTCCTCAAGCCTTTGACTATACTTGGGTACGAGGATTGTTTCTCTGTTAGCTTATGGACAAGCAAAACTGTGACTTGCATACATATGAGTCCATCTCCTATGTGATGCAAAAACCGGTTTGAATTTGACCACATCTGCATGTGGATTGCTTCACCCATGTTTGCTGACAGCAATCTGACATTGATACAGGACGTCAGACTTGATCTCCGAACAGTAATTCTTTCATCTAGAAATTCATCAGTTGCTGCTAACAAAGCCGGTTTTTATTTGTTAATAAATTGGCACTGGGAAGTCTCAGCATGACAAAGTGGGCCATAGAGAACAGTGGAATCTGAAGCAGACTGTATGAGATGAAGAAATCCAAGGTCAGGAAGAGAAAGAAGGTACTAAAGGTCATAATAGTTCCTGATCTAACTGTCCTGATGTGAGACAAACAGGATTGTGCTGCAGCACAGTATTCTTCTGTTATGTAGGAGTATGGATGTGAATAAATGAGGGCTAGATCCCCACATAGAGTCAGCAGGCTGGCCAGATACATTGTTATGGATCTTGATTTTGATCGAGAGTTGTATAAAGGTCACAGTGAGTCAGAAACTCCTTCACAGCAATGCCCAGATAGGCAGATTGCAGGCTATGTTCCAGTGGGTGCCTGCTCAGGGCAACACTGACCTCCTGAGTTGCAGAGGTATGATGGAGGTAGAAAACCTTTCTGTAACATTTGGTGACATGCACCAATTATAGTAGAATTTATATATTATTTGCCAAATCAGAATTTGCATTGTCCTCAAGATGTCCCAAATCTGAAATTGGATACCTGAACAGATAGCATCAGGACAGACAAAATTTCTGGATAAGGAGGTCATTGATGTGCAAGGTAAAAATCTGTAGTGCTAGAACAGAGCTTTGAGGTAAGGGTCTAAGCTGGGGTTTCCAGGTGGTGAGGACTCTTGTACAGAGTGCCGGCTGAAGTTACCAGCAAACAGCCAATGATTTAAACACAGATGAATTTACTCTCCGTGTGCTTTTCTGGGGGCTTATGAACAATAGTAAACCAGAAGCTAGCAGTCTGAATCAAGGCAAAGAAGCTGGAAAGCTCAGAAATCTCATTCCATGCAAAGGTAGAACAACACCACATCTTCTTCGCTGTCATGGCTTTCTTGGAAGCAAATGGTGGCACCTCACTGTGAAATCAGGAAGTCTTCTGGTTTATTTCAGACAATGTTCTTATAATCAAATGACAATGTATGGTCTTTATGCAACAATTACCTGAATCATTGCAAAAGACTTCTGAATTTCAGAGACATGGTCATACTGTTCTTGCCAGCCCACTCTTCCAGACTGTCCAGGTCTCTCTGTAAGATAGCTCTCCCTCCTGATGTGTCCACCTCACCACCTAGTTTGGTGTCATCAGCAAACTTGGTGAGAGTGCTTTCAATCCCATCATCCAGATCATTTATGAAGATGCTGAATAGTGTGGGGACCAGTATTGGTCCCTGGGGGACCCCACTTGTGACAGGCTGCCAGCCTGAGTAAAAGCCGTTGATGACCACCCTCTGAGTGTGGCCTATGAGTCAATTTCCCACTCATCTTGCAGACTGTCCCTCCAGTCTGTATCTTGCCAGTTTGTCTGGGAGGAGGCTATGGGAAACAGCAGAAAATGCTTTGCTGAAGTCCAGGTAGACAACACCCACTGCCCTCCCCCTGTCAACAGAAAGTATTACTTTGTTGTAGAAGGTGATCAGGTTAGTCAGGTGTGATTTTTCATCCCTTCATCACTGATGTTCAAGCACTGTCTTCTCTCCACTGACATGAAAATGGCAGTTTTGCTGAGGGAAATGAGTAAAGGGAAGGGCCCAGGTTATGCAGTTGTTGGACTGCCAGGTGGTTGGACAAGGTATGGCATGGAGACAGATGGGATTTAAACTCTACTCCAGCACGTGCAACAGCTTCTTCCAGTTCTGGACCCTTTGAAGTATCACGACCACTTATTTCCCTGTTTTACAGGACAGACCTACCCATCAAAGTTTAAGCTCTTAGTCAATTCTTTGTCTTCATCCCTAGAATTAAATAATAGTTCGAATTAAAATATTAATTCTGGCTTCTTATTTTATTCACAGAATGTGAAAAAGAGCATGGGTCCTTGCTGTGGATATTTGTGATGGTTGGAAACATAGTACAAGGAATGGGTGAAGCTCCCATCATGCCTTTAGGCATTTCATATTTGGAGGATTTTGCCAAACCAGAGAATTCACCTTTCTACGTGGGTAAATCTACCCTATTGTGATAACTCCCCTCCCCCAAACAAATACACACAAAAACAAAAGCAAAAGAGAGGGTTATTATGACTCCCTTCAAGCCAATAAAGGAAGAGCAAAGAAAGACATTACTGCCTTATCAAAATAATAGTACTGTAGAACTTGTAATTTAACTAGAGGTGAACTTCTTGAAATGAGGCCATTTTTAGGCACAAATGTCTGTTCAGTAGAGCTGTCCTAAACATATATAACAATTCCAAGAAAATAATTATGTCCAGGTTCTAATTTAATATGTTTTCTCCTTTTCATACTTTAGGATGTCTACATACAGCAACTGTAATTGGCCCTTTCCTTGGTTTCTTGTTGGCATCATTCTGTGCAGAACTGTTTCTTGATCTGGGATCAGTAGATGCAGGTAATGGATGAATATATAAAATCTTACATATAAATTGGTAGGCATGATGGTGTATTTATCAACACTAAAAGATGTTTTGTTGCTAATATGAGGTGTCTTCGTTTTATCTGAGTTTGCTGATGTTTCTTTTAGAATGGAAAATCTGTGTATAATATTCAAGTCAATAAAAGGCCTGAATTCACACATACAAAAATGAATCTGCATATAAATTATTTGATGAACTATTGTGTCATCTGGCTTAACATAGAAAAGGGCTAGAATTGATTTAATACAAAACACTGAAATTTGCCAGAAAATCAGTAACATTAGAAAAGAAAACTGCAGACTATTCTCTTTCATCAGCCTTATTTTAAGAATCTTTAAAATGCTTTTAATAGATCACATGTCAGAGATGACTAGGAAAACACACAATGACAGCAAAGAATGTTTCTGAACTAATGTAAGTTGTGTGTGTTTTTGTGTTTGGTTTTTTTTTTAATAGAGGACATAACTATAAAAGCTACTGATGCCCACTGGCTTGGAGCATGGTGGCTGGGCATTTTGATTTGTGCATCACTGAATCTTCTCGCAGGAATACCTTTTTGGTTTTTGCCCAAGTCACTTGTGAAGGAAGAAGAAACCAATGAACCTGAGGAGACAAGTAAAAAAAGTGTAGTACTCTTGCAAGAAAATCATAAAAATGAAGCCAAACAGACCATGTATGAAATTGCTAAAGGCAAGTTATATTGTATTTTATTTCCTTCTTAATTTTGTCCTTAAGGTGTGAACTATGTCTGTGTATTTTTGTAAATAAAGGTGGGTCCACGGTATGAAATGCATACTCTGTTTTTCATCTCTCTGTAGTACAAAGGATTTGTGCAGGGATTTAGAATGGCTCCTTGCAGAGGAAGAAAGCCAATTTCATAGATCCAGGATCTGAATTCATTCCTTTCCCCCTCCTGCATTTCAGGTGTATGTAGATCTGGAGCTTTTCTTCCTGGTAGAGGATTAATGCACTGAAATCTGGTTAAGAATATTATACCTCAGTGAGCTGTGGACAAGTTGCAGATATTAGTTGCTTGTACCCCACATTCACTGTGCAGAAAAGGAGAAAACCAGCACAAGTCTTGTACATTTCTTGAGTCCAACTTAAAGCCATAAAAGGAAATTGACAGGTGCTTAAGTGTCTCATAAACATTTAATGGCTGTTGAACACGGATGTATTTGACTTACATTTATTCATGTTACCGTTGGCAACATTCACATCTGTGGTCTTTCAGACCTGTACATCTGTAGGAAGCTATTTTTTGTGCTAGTTGGAAACATAAGTGAATAAAATACGTCAAAGGCTCTGATCTCCAGAGTAGTCTCATGATTCTGTATACCCAGCTCAGGGCCCCTCGACAGGATCTTCATTTTCAGAAAGTAAGTGCCAAGGGCCAGCTACCTCTCCATGGTGTTTCAAGCTGAGTCCTGCAAACTCACCATACTCAGAGTGAGTACTCAGATCTTGGCCGATATTGCAACTTCGTTTTGATAAACACAGCATCTTTCTCTGCTGTCATGTAGCCTTAAATGAATCCATGAATAAAGTACTGCTCTGATGAGGAAAGGTTCCTAGCTCAGATTGTGGGTCCTAGTACTCCAGAGTCCCTTCAGAGCTTATGTTTTCATCATCATTCCCTCCTTGAGTTGGTGTGAATGTCCACTGTCCTTGAATATCCTGAATTAAGAATCTTTTCATTTCATGGAATGGTTCAGGTTAGAAGGGACCTCTAGAGGTCACCTGGTCCAACCCCCTGCTCAAGCAGGGCCACTGAGAGCCAGTTGACCAGGATGTGTTCAGACAGCTTTTTAATATCCCCAAGGATTTCAAGTTGAAAATTGAAGTATTTATAGTTAAAATTAATCTCTTCCTCAGAAAGCTGATTATAAACTGCATGGCATATATAAATAATACAGCCTATTTGTAGTGTTTCGGATATTTGACTCATTTTTGCAAGTCTTGCATACAGATCCTCTTCTAGTAAGATACTTGCCTACCTCTGAGAGATATATATCCTTCCTAAGTGGTGCCCATTTTCAATGAAGTACCGTCATTGTTTTACAGATGCTTATGTTTTTCTACAGAGTTTCTTGACAATAGCTCAGCACATTAATTAATAAAGAATGTTAGACAAAGAGGAATTGTGGGGTTTTTTACGGTTCAGATCCCAACTTAATAGGCATTACGCAGAGAAAAGACCTGTGTAAATTAGTTTCTCAGATGCTTACTTGGCTGAAGACTGGCGGATCCAGACTTTGAGAGTATGGTGGGAATAACTGGTCACCTTCAGGCCTCTTCTGCCCCATCACTGACAGTAGCAATAACCAAAATTAGTGGTCAGGTCTCTGGTTGTCACAGCTACCTAGTGCGTTTGCACCCCTTCCCTCTTGTATTCCCTTTGCATCCCAGCTGCAGGAAAGGGGTTTTGGTGAATGCTCTGAGGACATGCGATGAGAGAAAAAGGAGTAGGAATACAGCTAAAAAGTTTCAGGAAACTTTTATGATACGATTATTACTGTGATTTTTTTATAAGCAGCAGCATGCATTAGTGTGCGTGTGTGTCTGTGATTATCTTTGTGTAGAAGAGACATGTTTGGGTAGCCTGGGCTAAGCAAGTAATCTTTGGCTTGTGGTGTTTGGCAAAGCACAAGAATTAGCCTGATCGAGTTAAGGACCATTTCTGTTTCCCTCTTCCCCCCTCAGCCACACTGAGCAATGGGTGGTTCATTTCATAAAGCATCACACTAACTCATTACATTATTTCATTCCAGATGTCATCCCGTTCCTCAAGGCTCTGTTTCACAACCCAGTTTATATGTTATTTATATGCATAACGGTGTTACAGTTCAGTGCCTTCAATGGCATGATATCCTTCATGCCCAAATATTTGGAACAGCAGTTTGGAAAATCTGCGTCGGATGCCATCTTCTTAATTGGTATATTTGCATTTTGCTTTGCTGTGTTCTACCAAGTAGTGATGTCTCTATGCAAATTCTCTCTATTTTTATATATATATATATTCATATGTACATGTATACATATACATACTAAGGTCAAATGCTTCTACAAATGAGAGATTCCACACTACAAAGCATTTCCAAATAATCATGCATTTTCTGCTAAACATCTCCTGATTTTCTGTGCAGAATTTAATATTCTACTTCCCATCTTTTGAATTGGCTCAGAAAGTTCAGCTGGTGTAAAACTTGCACCACTGATCTCAAAGACGATATGTTAATTTGCATCAAGAAAGCGTGGGCCCAATTATCTTTATTATATTATCTTGATTAAAAAGTATACTATAAAGGGTGGCTTTCATGTTCATGAAAATGACATCACTGGAGCTCTTAAGACATAGATGGGTTGAACCTATGCACAGCTAAAATTGCCAATGATTCAACACTTGCCATTCTTTCTACTCCTCAGGTATTAGTCTTGGGCCTTCTGAAAGCCGCAAATCCTCTTTCATACGCAGAACTGGAAGGAAAGCACTGACCAAATAGCTGTCTTTTTTTGTCTCTTCTTTATCAGCTTGTCTTTTTTTGAGTGAGGACAAGAAGGTGTCATGCATTGGGAAATGGTAATGGCAAGTAGTTGTAGCACAAAGCAAATATCCTGAAACTGTAGGAGCCTTTCTATGGTTCCACTTTACTATGTCTCAAATTCTCAGTTCCCTTGTTTAACTGCAGTGACTTAATTAGACTAGAATTTATCTACTCATTATAGAAGAAACATCTTAAAATACATCTAGCCATACTTCTGTTCCTTAACTCAGTGCTCATCTTCCACAGTAGCCGCACCATTTTCTTTAAAATCTGCGACACAGATTGTCTGAGACCTTACGAGTATTACTGTTACACTCTGTTACCAGGGTTTTGAAGCTGTGAATCCAAAGGCATGTAACTATCATACATCTTATTTGTGTTGCGCTGACATTGCACTGCTGGGTTGTTTTTCAGACAGCTACTTCCTAAATGTCTTTCAGTCAGTCTTTGCTTCATTAAAGTATCTAACAGCAAAGAAGTGTAAGAGCATGTTCAGTAATCTCATATCAAAACTGAAAGTCTGTTCCTCCTTTCTGTGATGCTCAGCGTGCACCAAGATGTGCTCCACTAGCTTATCTTCCTGTTGAGTTTCTCTCTCAGCCAAGGAGGCTGTATTGAAACACTGCTTTTTTTGTTTGTTTGTTTTGGGGTTTTTTTGTTGGAACTAGATTGCAACTCTAGATTGCAATTTTCCAATCAATCATTTCAGTCTTACCCTCTAGCTCACTCTCCAAGCAGTTCCCAACTGCTGTTGACTTTGGCAGATGTTTTGGGTGTGCAAGGGAACTTGTAGAGACCCATTTCTGACTGTAGTTAAATTATTGAGTCACAGGCACTATATGAGTCTCTGCCAAACACAGTCTTCCCTTATGTATAGCTCTGATGGTCTCCTTTATTTTGACATGGAAGTTTCACTTGTTTAAATAGGTGTTTTTACAACTTACCAGTTATATGCGTTGGGTATTTTTTTGGAGGCTTATTCATGAAGACATTAAAGATAAATATCTGTCAGGCTGTGAACACAGCATTTTGGATATCTTTACTGGAATACCTTCTCTACTTTGCTGCCTATCGGACTGTCTGTGATACTTCACCAGTTGCTGGCCTAACAGTTTCCTATGAAAGGTATGTTGTTTAAGACACAAGAGGACTTAAATCTTAAGACACTGGAATGGTTTTTCTTGTCAAGAATCAGCCAGGGACTCCATAGTTTTGCAACATTTTAGTTTTGTAATCTAAATTCTCAAGGCTTTTTACTTGCATGAGACAATAGGTCTATTCTGTTATCCCTGTTTTAAACAATAAAGCGCATTAAAAAAAGATATCCACATCAAGACTCATGCAATTGCATATCCATATTAATTCTTTTACTAATATAATTATACATTCAAGTCATGTAACTGCAGGTAAAAATAAGTTGTTGATCAAATTAGGCATACATGAATGCAATTTCAGAATTACAGAGGGGCAAACCCTTTCTTTATCTTACGCTGGTTTACTGCAATTTCATTGCTATTGAGTTATCAGAGGATATTTTATCTGCAGTTTCTTGATTTGAGGCCTGCCATTAATCATTGGGAGCGGTTGTGTGTCTGTAAAATGCACATGTAGGTATATGTAACGCAGACAATCAAGAACGTACATGCCGTAGATGAGAAAAATGCTGTAGGGTATGCATACCTATCTATGAATTGGTATTATTAATATAATGTAATGTAATATAATGTAATTAACATCCTATAGAAAGATAGAAAGGCATGACTCCAGGATAGGAGCATGTAGGATTGTGTCCTGGATCAACCCTTGAGCTAGAATAGAATCTTAACCATTACAAAGCATTACTGTAGGTATTTCATTACTGAAATATTTATCCATCTTTTAAATGTATTTCAGACTAGAGCAAGTTTCATATGCAGAAAATACTCTACTAGCTGACTGCAACAGGGATTGTGATTGCCCGCTTAAAATATGGGACCCAGTTTGTGGGAACAATGGAATCACATATGTGTCACCTTGTCTTGCTGGGTGTAAAGCCTCAAGAGGAACTGGAAAAACTGTGGTAAAGCATACATTTTATTGTGCTGTAACTATGAAATATAGTAGGTAAGAAATATCCATATCAATATAGGGTGGGAAATATCCATACATATACATTTAATTGGATATATAAGGTGATAAATAGAGTTGGACAAGTTCACTGAGTGGCAACAGAAGTTCCAAACTGAATATGAAAATTAATTTAAATTTAAATTAAAGAATATCATGAAGAAGCCTCCTTTTCTTCTAATAATTGAAGGAATCTTAAATGCTCAAAATGGAGTGAGAAATTGTACTCAAGGTATTGCCAGCTGGAAGCCTGAGTGCACAAGAACATTTCAGCCAAAATGAAATTCTATAGCATGGACTTAATAATTTCTTTTACCTTGTAGATTTAAACAAGTAACCAGGTATTATGGAACTTTTATTCTCTTAATTAATAATACATTTTTACATTTAAAAAAAGGTTCTAATTAGACTGAAAACTAACAAAAATAATGAGTTCAATAAAACCCCAAATCATAAAGATTTTAGAAAGCCTCTGTACTTTACAAATATTTTAGAGAAGTATTAGATGATAGTAAGGGCCAGACATTGATGCCCTTGCTCATCTTGGCTGACATTTGAGAGCCCGTATTCTGGCATTAGTTTCAATGATTTCAGTAGAAGCAAGTGTTTGAGTGAGAATATTGCAACCCAGCCTCAATCAAACATCTCTGGTTTCTTCTCTTCTGGCATATGAAAGACCACACACTAGGTTATAAAAAAGTGGGTCAGATCTGTTGGCACTGGAAGGACCACATAACCAGGCTGTGATGGGAAATATGAGGGCTATCTTGATCATGGCCTCCTTGAGGAAGCATAATCCCAGCTGCATAAGAGGACCATAGCTCCCTCCTGCTCTCTAACCCCATACGCCACATACAGATGAGGGTTGGACCTGTGCCTGGCAGGCTGGGAGAGAGGCTGCAGTGCAGCACTGCACATGTGTAACATACTCAAGTGCAGGAGAGAGTGAGCTAGGTGCCGACTGTGTGAGTTTCACACTTGGTGTGTGAGTTTTGATAAGTGCGTGTGATTAAAATACTCTTTTGACAGGTATTTGAAAACTGCACCTGTGTTGCAGCCTCGGGGTTTTCATCTCAAAATGTCTTTGCAATTCTGGGCCAGTGTGATGGAGAAGAAAACTGTGACAAGATGCTTCATTATTTTTGAATATTGTCATTAGTCTGCAGCTTCATTTTTTCCTTAGCAGCCGTGCCTGGGTACATGGTCTTAATAAGGTACAGTAAAATGCCCTTATCTTAAGAAAGCTACTGGACTTTTTATTCTGAGGTCCAACAACCCCAGGAATTAAAAGTGTGTTAGTTTGTGTATGGAGGGAGGAAGAATAGAAAGAACTTATGTCATTTCTGTGCTGTGTTAAGGTTTAGTGTCATGTTAACTTTATAACCTGTTGTTGCTTCTGGCTACCAGCTGTATCCTTAATTAATGTAGGACCGCTGAGTCAGTGCACTGAGATCTTGAGAGCTGTGTGATACCCATGTGTTTACTGATCACATCAACATGATGTTGATTAAGGCACAACTACCTTGCACTTTGCGCTGGCCTCAGTCCAAGTGAATGATACCTGGGCAATAGCTTTTCCTTTTGTGAGTCAGCAGTCTTAGCTAAGGAACTTCAGTAAATGACACCTAATGAGAATAATGAACTCTTTGAACTAGTGCTCTAAGTAGAATTGTTTGGGCCTAATGTGATGAAGAGTTTGATTTAAAAAAAAAAAAACAGAGGTAAATATTTCTTATTAATGTCACCTCTACTAATTGGTGTACAATGTAATTATCATACAGGTCTCTAAAGCCTGAAGAAAAGTCATTTGGAGCGGGTATCCATGGACTAGCTTCAAAAGTATTTGGTAAGAAAAGCTCTAACACACTTCAGAAGCACAGTTAGGTCTGATTGAGAGTTAGATAAGGATCACATCAGGGCTATGGGTGTGGCACAGAAATGTACTTCTATGGAGTGCCTTTGATCAGGAAGAATTTGGGTTTTTTACAGATCTAGGCAGCATGACAAATTAGAACAGCTTTCGGTTTGCATTTATTTATACTTAGTAATAGGCTGACTACATCTGGTGTTCATCTGAAAGCCATTTTACATTCTGTCGCTCTTGTTATATGTTTATCGAACACTCAGTCTCACTGATGAGAAAAAATGTTGAGTTTTGAATAGGAATCACCATGCATATTGTAGCATGTATATATTGTTAAACAGGCAACAGGAAAGAAAATCTTTGGCTGAGGGTAAGTGGATAAGGAACAAGAGAGAATGTAAGAAATACAGAGAACATGGTTCATGCTGCAAGAGGACACGACAGATGGAGTAGGTGAGAAACAGCATAGGTTCTATAGTGTATCTGTACACTATATATATAAATTTGTATATATTTGTATATACAAATATAGTGTATATTTGTTAATCAGAAAAAATACGCTATTCACAAAAAACATTGCTAATATCCTTTTAAGCTGGAATTCCATCTCCCATTTATTTTGGAGTTTTGATAGATACCACTTGCTTGAAGTGGGGTACTATGACTTTTGGCGGTGAAGGAGCATGTAGGATGTACGACATTGTCACATATAGGTATATTTTCTACTTTATTTTCATTTCTCCTTCTTACTGTATTATTACATACATAGGGCTATAACTACACCTTTTATCTTTTCCTAGTAGACAAACTGCTCCTGTGTTAGAGATTTGACACAACACTTTTCTTTGGCATTGGCTTTATTTGTCAAGTGCAACCTTTGCAACGTTGGAACACCCTTTGAACAGAAATGTTCTGGTGCCATAATTACATTCACTAATGGCCTTTCATGAGAACAGACCTTAAGACACTGAATTCTGATAAAAAAGTTAAAAGCAGTAAGCCCTTGTGGGAAAAATGCCAGATGTTTAATGGCTGACTATGCAATATCTTTGAACAGAAAATGGTTGAAATAGTACTTGAATTAAAATATAGGAGAAATTTATAGAGAGGATATAGTTACCCAAGTTGGAAATTGGCCCAGCATACTATGCTTCGTGTTTTTGTAGTCCTTCAAGGAGCACTGTGGGAATTTTGAAGAAAAGTCTTGTTGAACTAATGGCCTCAGGCTGATTCCTTTTACTGTATTGAGGTTGATTTGGAAGAAGAATGCTAGCTCATGAATACACAGAAGTTTTACTCAGGTGGTCTGAGCTGCCCTTTTCAGGGCTCTCTCTTTCCCCTGCGGAGAAAGCCATAAGGGTACCAGGTGGCTAACTTCACTGGCTAAATTAGTTGCCTGAAGTTGGGTGATGTAAATAGCCGTTTCGCTGGCACTGACATATTCTCCATTCTCATATTGACATCTTCTGTGAGATCCAAAAGGATCAGGGCACAAGCTTTAGAGCAGCTGGGCAATTGTCGCAAAACAATGTATGCTGAATAGTTTTGCTATTTTTTCATGAATGATATATTTAATGAAGCTCATCCTTTATTTCAGGTGGCTCTATCTTGGCCTGCCAGCAATATTACGTGGAGCGTCCTATATCCCAAGAGCACTAATTCTCCTAATTTTAAAGAAGAAACTTAAATCTGAAAGCCAAGTCTTATTAAATGCACCAGTAGAAATGCAGGATAAAGTACAAGAAGCATTGAAATAGCATTTCAAAGCAGGACATATTGTGAAAAAACGTTGCAGTGTAAATTTTGGATATATCCTTGTGAAAGATTTCATACTTTAACTAGTGAACACTTGGACAGAGATTAATAGAATTACACATAGTTGTATCCTAATTACAATATAAAAGTATCAGTTCATCAACAGAAGTTACAGGAAAAATGTGTTTGGTGCAAAAGAACAAGGAGTAGATATAAGAAAACTTAAGAAATACCAGGTTTGAGTTGTCTGAGCAAAGGGCTATGAAGCAGAAACCTATGTTTCAGCCCTGGTTTCACTGAAGATAGTGAGAGTTTTGCAGCTGACTCCAGTGATGCCAGATTTCATCCTGGAATTCTCCAACGGCTTTTGCCACAGCCTGTCTCATTGACTGTAGACAGGATTTGTAGCTTCTCTGGGCCTGACTTTTCCATAAATTTATTTAATTATGCTGTTAGTCCTTTCAGGCAGGGACTGTTATTCTGCATAGTGGAGATGGTCAACATATTGGGAACCTGGTTTATGACATGGCCTGGGTGCTGTGGTAATAATAACAAATAAAAAAAGAAAAAAAATTTTTAAAAATGTCGTGTTATGGTGATGTTTTAAGGTTTACATAGAGCGTGGACAAGGAAAAGTTATCAGGATTTGTTACTTCAGTTGCATTCACTCTAGAGGGGAATAACTCAGACATTAAGCGTGATAGAATGATACTTGTGAGTATTTTGCCCATCATATTGCTGTCTGCTAAATCCTATACCTTCTCATGTCTTGTCAAATTATTTTTTGAGTGGTACATAACTGTGATCATCCATGTGCTCTTCCTGGTCTTTGTCCAATTTTTGTTTCTCTCAGATGTGATGCTACAATGAATGTAGTATCCATTTGGGGTTCACTGACAGTAAGCTGTTGCCCTAGGATGTCTTAAATATCTCAGGAAAAGACCCTGAATGTCTCAGGAAAAAAAACATACAGAAAACCCTGCTGATATGTTACACTAGGTGTATATTTGGTTGAGTGTAGTGCATCCATGTTTAGCTTCTAGATTGGAACTGCCTCATATTTAGGTCTGTTTACAGGTGGCCATGCAATAACTTCTCAAGCCCTTCTATTACAGCTGTCGGAAATAAAAAACCCCCTCCTGATTATTATTCCCTGCTGCGTAAGGCATGGAGGGAGCTTCTGGAACTTTACCATAGACTAATGCTCCAGCACTTGCAAGCGTTTGCTACCCATTTAATCTGTATGACACAGACTTATTCCCATTTTATTCATCTGGGACCTTCTGCAGCCACAGAAAAATGGGAAGGATATTTCCCCAAAGTAGTTACGTTAGTTAAGTTATATTCTGTTTTACCTTAAGGTGTCTTATTAACACCATATGTGTATGTGCTTGGAATTGCCTCCTGCTCTCGTGGAATCAATGACAAAAGATCCATTTTTTCCCACAGAGCAGGAAATCAGCTCTAGAATTTAAAGTTTCTTCACATACAGGAGGTCCTTACAATTAATTCTTTTGAAAAGATATGTCACAGCCCCCTTTCCTCCCTTTGCATCAGATGATAGAGCTGAACGGGTATAATGTGAGGAAGGGGAGCAGAAGAAAAGACAAACGTGATGCAGCCTGTAACGAGCAGAGCAGAGAGTGCAGTTCTCTATTAAGCCACAGGTCTTCCAGAAGCTTTGTGAACATTTGAAGCACAGCTGATTTTCAGCATTGTTCTTGGTACTGTGGGGCACTTACTTAAAGCCATCATTCTTCCTTGTGGATATTATATTACTCCAAAGCTAGAGTTAAAAATCTTTTTAGTCATTTAGTCACAGTTCGGTGCCAAGGTAACCCGGGAAATGTGAAAAGTTACAGTGCACTGAAGTTTGACAGCTGTAGCAAACAAAAGGGCTTTGTTAGTAAGGCAAATCTGTGCCATTTAAATGGACCACTGCCAAAGAGTCAGGGCTAGTTAACTCACTGTGTTTTGAAATGGAAGGAAGCAGATAGGAAAGTTTCCAAGTTTAAAATTTAGCGTTTTAGTAGATGCAGTAACTTTCTTTTTAATTGTTCCAGTTCATCTGCTTGAGAATGTAGCAGTGAAACAGGCTGCCTTCACCAGATGCTTTGAAGTCATTAGTCTGCTATTCGGTCTGTTTATCAACTTAGACAGTGCTGACTGGAGAGCTGGCTGGGTGACGGCACGGTAGAGAGGCTTCTTGGCATAAGCCTACAGTGGGAACAGTACTTCTCCAGAGCAAAACCAGGAAATGGAGAGTGCAGGTCATTCCAAAGTAATCGTCATAAAACCTTTATGATATGCCATGTCTGGTACAACAGACATTCCTAGGATTAGATTGGGAGGTTAGAAAAATACTCTTGGAGCTATTCCTTCAAATGTAAAGCCAAACTTTAGACTTGATCCTTCCAACTTTTGAGCACGCTGACCTTGATTCGGCAAAGCATTTAAGTGTGTGCTTAACTTGAAAATGAGTGGCCTTATTGATGTTTCTTGTTTAAGTAGGTGACATCAGACATTTCAAGACTGAGGCCCAAACTGCCACTCCTGTGACACTCATTTGAATAGAGGCTACTTGCTGTGGGTTACAGTAGGTACTCAGATGATATTCACTGTGCTTGAAAGTTTGGGCTGATGCTGGTCTGATGTTTCAAGCACCAAGACTTGCATCAGCACTGTGGGTAGCAAAAGCCACAAATGGGAATAATGCCAATACAAGTAACAGTAGGTGTAAATTTTTTTATAAAGCAGTAGCAGATGAATATTTGAGTTGATTAAGTCCAATATCAAATTAATAAAAATGGGTGGTAAGTTTATTTTCTGAATGCCCGAGAGCCGAGCAGATGGCTTTCACAGTACAATCATCAACCACATTTCTTTGTCACTGAAGCTTCAACTCAGTAAAGGGTGCCCATGAGTTGAATTTTGATCCTTAAACCTACCAAGTGGAAGGCTAGGTGCTGGAGCCCAGATACGGATGCTGCCAGACACTGAGAAACAAACACTTGATGTTTTTCTGGCAATGTGACCAGTGCAACCATCTTGGAGATATTTTAAAGGCAATGGTACACAAACTGTGCACACATGTATTTATCTAGCATTTTGTACTCAATGCCTTTTGTAATGATCCCTGATGTTCCGTTGGATTTTTTTGACCATGATCAGGTGCTGAGCCATCATTTTCAAAGAAATAACAACAGTCTTCAGTATCTTACTGAAAAATGGCAATGCTTTGTAAAAAGCACATCTCTGTTCATGTGCAGGCTATGGGGTTTTTTTCCTCTTTACATTATTTTCTCTGTATCAACTTCTAATTTCATCAGCTACTTTATTGCCAAGTCTCTCAGTATTTTAAAAGTCATTATTAACAGTTTTATATATATCCTAAAAAATTCTGTCTTGTATAAACTTCATTGTCTCCCTGCTGCTTCTAACTTTTAAGAATGGAAACCTATTCTTGGCGCACAATTAAAAATTTCTGATTGCGCATATTGTTCAAGCTATGATTTTTTTGAGAGAGAAAATTACTCATTTGGGAGGAAAAAATGTTACCTGGCAAGTTAATTTTAATTAGTGGGCATAAGGGAGGTGTGGTGACCAAAGCTGCATCATTACACAATAATTTGGCTGAGGGCATGACTGTCTGGTTTATGATATGAATGCTGGATATGTGTTTGTGATACAAACATACTATGTTAACATGTATAGCTTCTGAATATATCAGCATTACAATTTTGGACAAGTATTATTAGCAGTTGAAGTTCACTTTCTTTTTCACTCATTTCATCTAAAGTGAACAGTGGGCTGTTTCTGTATCCTTTCTATCTCAAGTTGAGTTTTAGCAGGTAACTCCTCCCTACAGACTCTTCTCATCCAAGCAAGCCTCATAGTTCCAGGAGCTAATTCAACCTGTGGATGCGGAGAGAGGAACACCCTGAGCATACCTGGGATGGGATTTGGCATGCAAAAAAGCCAAATCACTTTTTAGTTTATGTAAGTTTGGTCATGTGATGAAAACTGGATATATCCAGCAACAAGTTCTTGGCTACTGCTGCTTTTTTTTACAGAATTGTTGTCAGTCTTTTGCTTTCTTAATAAGGCATAAAGTGTTCCCAGTTATGCTGGTTGGGATTTTGAACTTTCATTGTTTAGGACTTTCTTTGAGAATGTGGAAAATTACTAGGTAATTGCCCCTCTCTTGCTTTGTTCAGAGAGTCAAGGGCATAGATTTCTTAAATCACAGGAGACTTAAATCACAGGACAAAAAGTCGTAGATCCCTTTAGAAGGTGAAATCTTAGGTATCGCAATGCCTAACATCCCTTCAAGAAGAGACCATTTGGTCGCTGCGTGCCAGAAGCGTGATACATGCCTGTTAATTTCCAACAGAGGTGCTTAGGGAATACAAACAGCGGTTGTTCCAGGCAGACATGCATGTGACCATAGGTGGCAGCTTGCTGGAGGATCCTTATAGCCTGGGCAGTGTTTGAGAAAGGTCCTCACGTGGAGGCCAGAAAGCCCATTACAGGTGGGAAATGGTGGTGTAAAAGAAAAAGTTCATTACAAAGGTTTTGCTTTTTAAAAGGCCTTGACCCCCCGTGTTTCTGTAAAGGCTGCCTAGCTTTGTAATGTTATTGTTTAAATGGTTCCAAAACGGGCTTTGAAAAATCAAACATCTCATGTGAGGTTAATGAAACACAAAGTGGTCCAGTTCATGCTGTACCTTTGCTGTTACTATTGTTTCAAGGCGGCTCTCTGGAAGACCAGAGTGCAGGCAACTGCATGCTGTCTGGCACACAATGATTTTTCTTTCTTCTGTAGGTAGTAAACCAATCTCAAGAAAACTTTCTGATATAAAGACAGAATCATATATAAAACAAGCTTAAGTTTCCGCAGAAATTTCCAGAATTTCAAAAAATTTCCAAAAGGGCATGAGCCCTGCTTTATTTTTCTCTTCCCCTTGCCCCCGCCTCCCCCCCGGTAGTTTTCTACCTCATA